AAAAAAACACAAAAAAGGCATTAACTTTACCTCAAGAAAGGGGACCCCACTTCCTGTCGCGGTCCCCCTGAGCTCGTCCCAGTAATTAGGGTACTTCCTCATATTTTTCTCCGAAAGCGATTCGAGGAGTGAGTGTGATTTTGAGGAGCGGGCAAAAGGGAGAAGCTGGGTTTGCAAGATTAGGTCTTTGGACAGCCTGCTTTTGATCTGTTGCGAGAATCTCTGCCCGATTGAAAAACCCAGTTCGTAGCCATTTATATAAGGGCCGACTTCAAATATCTCCAAGCTTTTCATTCCTGTAAAAGCTACTGATTTTTTTGTTCTCTGTTGGTATGTATGTTGTGCGCTTTTTGCAGGGATGATGAAAGGAGAGTATTTTGCGCACCTTATCTTGGGTGCTAAAATGGCGTTAGTAGTCTTACCCGACTCGATTCTAAATTAATCGGTTTTCCTGTGGATTTATATACCGGAAGGTCCCTGTACCAAAAAGAAAATGACTATATCGCGTTTCTTCATGGTCACTAATGTACACTTATGTTATACTAATTGCTTCAAGTCGAGAAATTTGTCAAAGATATCTATTAGGTAGACCAGTTCCGTCATACATTTTTCAACAAAATTGTATTCATATGCTATAAAATGTAATACACTCATACTTCTAATTATGTTATTTTTAAAATATGATAATAAGTTGAGAGTATGTATATCTAGTGAAAATATGGATGTATAATCGTTAGAACAATCTAAAATCAAACTTAGTGAATAGATTTACAGTATCACAAATTAAAATCATGAATTAAACAAAGAAAATAGATCAATGATTGAGTCAAACACATGAGATAAATAATCATGAATCATTGAAAATACAACTAGGAATTGAAAGGGAGCTCCCTTCAGTCCAAGAATAGGAAGCTTAAAATTCAACTTGACTCCCGACTCATTCACTCAGTTACTGAGTTCAATCATAAGTTAGGTAACTCGGCATTTGGGTGAATGAGTAGGCAGCAAATTGAATCGTATCGCATCCCACTCTGGACTAAAGAAAGCTCCCTTCGATTGCAGTACGAATTAATCATATTTGAATGAAATTTCTATTATCAAAGATACAATGGAGAAGCTAACATATCTACTGATATATGAAAGAAAGACCGATGAAAATTCTTTTATGAGAGATACAATAGAGAAGATAACACATATACTGATATCAGACTTTAGTTGTCTCAAAAGAAAATGTTTTGATCACAAACAAGAATTGAGCCTAGATGGTTGTAATATTATAGAGGAATTAGAGTTATGAGGAAGCACTTAACTTAGATCAATATGATTTTGTGTGGATAACATGTCTTTATATAGATATGAAAACATATGAATATATGAGACAAAAATTATTTAGTATTGCTGTAATGAAATAAAGAGATTCATATTCCTTCATGTTCAATATATATGTCCATCCAAATTAAAAAAGGCCAATCTCCTAAAAATGCCACTGCTTTTTGAAACATTTTAAAATTCAAACAACCAAGGCATGTGTCATATATTGATTGGCAAATTTCTCCTTTGGAGTAAAGATGGAATTGGCTCTTACACCATCACAATTGTTTGATCTGATTTTGATTTGTTGATTTTGATTAGTTAAGAGTTGTGGAGAAACAAAAGTGAAATAGAATAGTCACTACAATGCAATATGTTGAAGTTGGTTCCTTTACACAACTATTGTTGTAGAAATAAGTGATAAAACGGCGAATTAAAAATGAGTTTCAATACAAATACGTATTAAGAATTTGAAAATAGAAACCACAAACATCAATCACAGGAACATGAGGGAAACCAGATTTTTATTAATAAATAAATAAATTTATTATAAAATAACAACTTAACTGACAGTTCTATATTGCCATAGAACACATATAGTCGAATCACAAAAAATTGTTTGCCTTGAAGAAACAAACGCCCTAATATTCTGCAACGAGTACTACGTCTTTTTCTCCCATGATAAGACGGCTCAAAGTATGCATACTGCACTATCTAACACACTCACCTCGATCAAAATCTCAATTGCCAAGAACACTTAATTTTTCTAAGTCTTTGGAGGATAAAAGAGAGTATATGTATATGTTTTTTGTTGTTTCCTTCACTTGGTTTGTTCTTGTATATCTACCATGCACTATACATACAGTATTTCAAAAGTCATCAAATTCAATGCATGAGAGATGTCTTAGTGCCTCCATTAAGACAAGAGTAATGAAACTTTGAGTTTCATCTCACTTCTCAAAACCAAACAAACATAATGTTCGGTTAAAGTTTACCAAAATGAATTTGGACATTTACACATTTTCAACATTAAACACACCATTATATCTAAGAATTCCCATAAAATATGATTTCTCTTTTTCATGTAATTCTTATTATAACAATGATAAGGTGGATAATTAGTGAATATTAAAATGTCATATCTCACAAAGCATTATGTAATTTGAAAATAATTATTAGATATTTTCTCACATAAACTTAAGCATTGGAGAGGTTAGATGCTAATTGAATTGGTGAGGATTAACTTCCACACCACACAACCACACACGTAAATAAGCACCTATTTGTTGATATAAAAGTTTTAATTACTTGTGTGTGATTACTGTTGGGATAAGAAAATAAGCTCAACGGACAAAAATACTCGTACAAAATATATGACAAGCACTACTACTAATGAAAATAAATCAAACACAAATAAATAAAAGACGAGAAAGAAAAAGAACACAAAAATTGATAACGAAATTCAGCCAATATTGCATATGTCTGTGGGCACCACCAACCGCAACGCCAAATTTACTAAACTCACAAACAAAATACAACTAAAGTTAAATATTCCACAAATTAGGATTTCTTTTAATTAATGATTTTTTCCTAAGATATGAGAGAATAGAATAAGGTGAAATTGTAACTCAAAAGCAAGAGACCTATTTATACTAAAAAGATCCTACACATCTTTGGTACATATCCGAACGATTAATAAAAAACTAACAATTACACAAGTGGGTTACATACATCTCCCAAATAAAGGGAACTATAATGGAATAAATTGTATTGTGATAAACATTGCAAAAAAATTATATAAGTGGTGACTGTCTTTAATTTACTTTAATAAAGAGTTGGAAAATAAATTAAAATGCTATCATCACTCAAGATGCCGATTACAATAAGATTTTCTATAGATTAACATAACGTTAGTGCCCGATTTAGTAGTACTTTAAAGTACAATCAAGAAATATACCTCTCGTATTAATCCCCTACAAACCTAAAGTTGTAGGCATTGTGCTATATATAATGGACCATAAAATTCCATATGTCGGAATTTATAGTTAAATATTATGGATATTTACACTAAATAGTTAAGGCATAATGCACGTATAGGTGACATTTTATTTCATTAATTGCATGATGCAAAGCATAAAGTATGAGGCGACACCACTTTTGACTATTTCATTATATTGGAATCAAGAAAACATTTAATTCAAATCGATGACAATCACTAGATGAACATTGTGTCAAATCGGGGGCAAATCGAGTGCGATCCCACACAAGTGAAGCGCACCATAAGAGGGTTAGCCCAAATGAAGTCCAAGTGGGGTTACATCCCAAAATCAATTGGTAGTATGAGGAGTAGCCCACTAGGCTTATAAGTTAGGTCTATTTACCCTATCAAATCAATGTGGGACAACTCACAAGTGACATTCCAACACGCCCCTTCACTTGTGAGTCCTTCATCAGCCCACGCTTCTAACTAGGCCGGGTATATTTTTTAGCCCACGCCTACAACCAGGCCGAGTAGCTTTTTTTT